TGGAACAGCACAGGTGGAGTAGTTCAATGGAGGAGTGAATATCCGGCGAATGTAGTGGCCTGCCTGTTCCCCCGACCTGAATCCCATCGAGCACGTGTGGAATGCATTGGGTAGACGCATTGCAGCACGTTCAAATGCACCAGTGACCATCCAGTAATTGTCAATCGCGCTGATAGAGCAGTGGAATGCCGTACCACAGGAACTCATTACCAACCTCGCGGAAAGTATGGTATCGCGTTGCAGAGCATTTATTGCTGTTCGTGCTGATAAGGCTCCAATGGGAACCGCGCCCCTCTTTTGAGATACCGCAATGAATTGTGATGACCTTACCTCCATTCAGTGACCTTGACTAAAAATGTCAAATCTGTTCGTTCCGTTCTGAAGATTTCTTAGTTAGTTCCTGTGCAACATCGTGATGGTTCTCTCTTGGTGTGGTATTAATTTCATCGAGCTGCTTTATCTGGCAGAGTCATGCTAATCGAAACTTGCTCTAATGTAAGTTCTGCACACCAGTGTAGTAAGTATAGGCGGTTCTGCTTTAGTTTTACTGGATGATCCACTTACGTTGTTCTAACTGAATTGGACCGAATGCACAGTTCCCTCGATAGTTCCCTCACAGTTCCCTTGGAAGAATCCAATCGAGGCTATCGAGGGAACTGTGCATTCGAGAAATTAACTATGTAGCTTCTATTAACCCTTTGACGACAATGGCACCCACCGATGGATCCACCATGACTGGCGCATGGGACATTGGCACCGAATTTTGGGAGTCACCATACTCTCTTGTTTCTTACCAATCGCTGAATTCAGGAAGCCAGTGAAAGAATTTTCTCCTGGGACAGTGCCACCCACCGGTGGGTGCCGTAATGAGGGAGCATGGTCCCATGTCGAAATCCGCATTGTCGTCAAAGGGTTAACAAATCACAACAAAGTAACCAGTTAGTGAGTTACTCCTGGAATCTGTGGATTCGAATATCGGCGAAGCCGTGACCTTCGTAGTTAGTACTGCTTAACCAGTAATAACACTTACTTGGTCCACGATTGCATGGTTGATGCTTGATGAGATCCAACTGGAAGCTGAGATCATCGCCGATTTCAATCGTACTACCGAGGCAAACGATAAACGGCGCTAGGAGCAAGGAGAAATGCATTCTGAAAATTGATTTCATACCTTCGCAGCCATCCGAAAGAGGTCTTATTTGCATTTATATCGAAAATGGTCTACGACATACACGGAGATGAAACAAATCAGGACAAGGAACAGGATGACAATTTGCTGAGCAGACAAAGTAGAAATTCATATTCATAAATACAAAGAGGACTTTGGTTCGTCTGTTCGAGGTGCAGCAGGAATTCAATTGACAGCTTCCTTACATGAAGAGACTCTATAAAACCTGGATAGTACAGTAGGACTACAGGAGTTCTGTAGAGATGACCCTGATGTATTACTGTATAGTAGATAACGAGAATAATATACCATGACGACCATCAGCTGACACGAAGTAAGCGATTGGAGGGCAGTAGGCAGTGGAGGGCGGTGACTGAGTTCGGAAAGGGAAAATCTGGTACAACAGGAGAAATGACTGGTGTAGGAAGCCATGGAAGCGTTAATAACGAGCCGACAGAATCGGGTTTTGACGTCGTACGTGAAAGGCAAAAAAATGACCACCACGGATAAGTGAATGCCGCCGACAGCCGCCACGACCGTCACCGCAGCCACCGCGCAGCGTCGCCGTAGTCATTACCGCCATGATGGCGACCATCACTATCAAGCCAAACTCACCACCGTCGATCCGTCGTGGTCTTAGGGAAGCCACGACGACGACGACAACCATCAACTGTTGAGTCGACATCAGCCAGCCAGGCGATAGGCCGACGACCGGTCTTCGTCTATGCATAAAGAGAAATAGCACATATCTATTGATATGAAGGCAATGTGAACTCGCTATCGATATCCCATCACATTAATAGATCGTCATCAAGTTTCTTGTTATCCTTTGTCATCACAGCAGCGCACAGATGCATGAACACAGCATACTGAAAATTGCCTAGCAATACAGCATTTCCTCTTGAAAAACAGCCAAGTTCACTGGAAATATCGTCTTCAGATCGAACAGTTTCCAACCCCAATCTTCCTACAAACCACTGAAGAAATAGATTTGCTGTAGGAGTATGCAACGCCCTTTAGAACACAATTCTTCTATAGAAAACATATTAAACAGTTCTTTCCTAGGAGAGATTCCTTCTGAGTGTACTGCTCGCCAAGGTTGCAGTTCGGCTAGGGAGTATCAAGACTCCAGAGCATTGAGAAGAGGGCAAGGCTTACGGTATCACTCCAAATTGGAGAGAAAATGTAGTAAAAGGGCTTCTTTATAAGGCCCTTCGAAATTGTATGAAAATTAAAAGTTTAGTTTCCATTTAGAACAGCAACCATATCAGAAAACAGGGAAAGGGAAGGCAGACAGCCTGCAGTGAAGATCTGGTCAACACGAAGACCCTTCCAAGGGCGGGGATCAGTCTCTTGATCATCTGATTAATTGGGCTGTCCAAGAACACGTTTGTGCCAGATATCTGATTTTTTCAGTTTTTTTTTATATTGTGCTTCTCTTTCTAGGGTATGGCGATCCTTCAAACATACATATTATTCAGAATTATCGATAAGTATCATTCGTAATGAACATGTAAGATTCATTAGAATACGGTACTGTCTGCCAAAAATGAAGCTGTTTTAATTTCAATTTATGCTGCTTCGAAATACCATAATCTTCAAAACTCTATGGAATCACCATGGTACCAGGTGGGACTATAGTATTTCATTATACTTTATGATATGTCACGATATCGACAATTTTCCCTCATTGGAATGACAAAACCGGTGGAGTCCAGTTCTATACATAGATCATCGTGCTGCTAGCGCTGGTTCTATGACTATGAAACTTTTGCTTTTTATCCGGGGGAAAAGACACTTTCACACAGGTGATAGCGTTTTCTTCATGAACAGGAAGCATGGAGGATTCCATATTCTTGTACCGGTTTCAAACATGTTTTATGGGCGTCCAACATGAGGAACTGGTTTACTACTACTGTATTGCTTTCGGAACTGACTTGTAGCTCATCACGGTATTCTACACAGTAATAGAACATGAATAAAAACCATAGCCGTTTGTATACACCTTGTGTGACTGATGATGGGCTTTATGTCCCCTTCGTGTACTTTGCAAACGGTATGACCTTGAGAAGAAATCTTTTACTGCTTTGCGACGTTGCAGTAACTTTACTAGTACTTAAAAATGGTTCCACTTCATATAGGCCCTTTCAACTTTTACTTCACAGTACGATGGTACCCACTCCGAAAAATACTATTTCAAACCAAGTTTATCGAAGAGATTTTTCACCAAACGAGATTATCGGGTTGTGAACTAAATCGAGCGATCTCAAGAAAGAAAGATTTTTTTTTTGAATCTAATTCTAATTGGTGAATATGCATATAGAACTTGTAAAGTTCAAAATCAATAAGAGTAAGAATTACTGGTAAGAACTATGGAAAGCACAAAAGCGAGAGGTCGAGGAATCCAGGACATCGGTCATGCCTCACTTGAAGACACAAGGTGAGGACCAAGGACTCCGCACAAAAATCGTACGAGTTTCCGGGAAAATCGATAGCATTTCAAACTTCTTTTGTTCTCAAATTCTTCCTCAACGACATTTCTCAAATTCCCTTTTGTGAATTGATCACAGATCGTGGCTATTATTACAAATATCCCTCGAAAACTGTCGAAATGAATTCGTTTCCCATTTGATTCCCAATGACTGGGTGTAATGGCACGATGAGGCCAGATAATTAAGGACCCCAATTTTTGTTTTGAAAGAAGTTTTCCTGATGGAAATTATAGCAATCGTTCGTTCGTATGCCAGCTATCACTGCTGAAGGTCTAAAACACAGCCATCACAGATAGCCAGATCCCTTTTCACCGATGATTGACAGGCAACACGAATAAGAGTGGCTTAGACCTTCGTCTGGTCACTTTCGATTATCGACCATTTTTTTAGAAGGAGACTTTCTAGAGGCTTTCAGATCTTGTTAGAGAAAAAAAATGAAATCTCAAATTCAATCAAATGTCAAAGTTTCAAAATGCTGTCGCATATGGTACCAGGTATCAGCTGAACTAGGTAGCTTAGAACTTCGTAAGCCGATCAGTTTTTAAGCCCTAAACGATCGTAGATTCCATTTCACAGAAGGCATATTATACTTCAGCAATGGTAGAGCTGTTACTGGCTTTTTTCCTCGCTGAGCGAGCTGTAATGAACTGCTCTGAGGGGAACATTCCACCAGACCGAGCCTAAGTTAACGATCTTCTGATTAGTCCGAGAGAAAAAGGAAGAACCATAAAAGTGGAACTGGAATGGAAATTAAGCCGAATTCTATTTCTGACACTAATTTTATACGAAGCAATCTGAAGCAGAAATCAATGTAGAAAATAAGCGATCTTAGCAATGGTCAGATTTTACAAAAGTAAGAAGATCAGGTGGACTGAGATGTGATGCCTACAAAGGAGACGATCAGTTTGAACAAATCTCGTAAAATTGACGTGCAGTTTACTTCTGACGCAAGTGCTTTTCATGAGTAATTGTGAAGCACTGTTGAATTTCAATATATATTCGACTTTTATTTGTATGAGAATATGATTGAACCTAGGGCCCAGAGGGTAGAAGGTGAGATGGTACCGGGTATACGGACTCCGAGGATACGTGCGGCAAATTGCGCGGCGAAGTTCGCAACGATTTGAACGACTTCAGCGCCCATCATTGGGGCTTATATTTGAAGTAGAGTAGATTAGAAGGATCACCTGTCCCTACTAAACTACTCTACTTCGAGTTTGTGCCCCCGAAAATTGGCGTCAGAGTCGTAAAATCGCCACGAACATCGCCGCACAAGTTGCCGCGCGCATCCTCGGACGCACGTAAGTCCCGTCCACCGATGGTACCAGGTATAGTGCTACTGGCAGCTTACGCATTTTATGACTAGATATCATTTTACTGCGCACATTTGCCGTTCATGCTTACACTCCCGCTTTCCAAACCACCTTCAAACAGTCCTCTCGCCTAATCACAAGCTCCAGTCCCAAGATTCAAGAATCATATAATAAGTCAACAAATAACAAACGTTCAGGCAACCAATATGGGGCGATCAACTTCCCTAGGTATGTCTGACTAGATGAAAAAATTAAAATTTATATTTGGCGGTGCGAAGCGGCACCGAAAGGTACCTATACTACGTTAAGTAAGGCATACGCTGCGACCATACTCGACGATCGGCGACATTTCTGGACTGGACAGCATTAAAAGGAGACGGCGGAGACTGATTTCAAATAGATCTGTGGGCAAGATATATCATACGAAACTAGGTACGATTTGTACATACACACATATTACATATATGTTATAAATTATACATATTTATAATAGATAACACACGCTAACTGCTGGAGCATTCGTGGTAGACGTCAAAAAGGAAAATGCGAGCGAAACCATCTCTGCACACTATGCCGCAAAATGGTTCCAGAACCTTTTAATAGATGAAATTTGTAGCTTTTCTCAAATAAGACATCCCAAAAAGGGCATAAGGTAGAACCAGAACTGCTACTGTTCCGCCTTCACATAAGAAGTAGTTAAGAATCTATTAATGTTCACTATAATCCTAATATTGCGATATTCATTTACTTCTTTCTAACACTAGTAGAAAACCGAAAAAAAAANAAAAAAAAACAAGTTGTTTGGAAAGTATCTTTGGAAAATTATATCAAAGTTAGAATTTTCCTCCGGATTCTCTAGAAGCTTCTATGAAAATACTATGAAGGGGTGCTGCTCACTTGTAAGCGCAATTTACCAGGAAATTGTAGGATGACACAATCGGTTGACAAGTTCGAGGTTCATCTCCGGCCTTTTTGTTTACGGGTTGTGAAACTAAATGTTTACAGGTGAACGAGTTGTGCACAGAACTGTTTAGAAGGGGCTTCAGGAGCTAACGCCTGATTCAATTTTAATGTTTTCCAGCAAGTAAGGGGCGGAACTCGTAAAGAAGCACGTGTTAAACATAGATAGACTATGGTCTCCAAATGGCTAAGTAAGCAAGGAAGATGTAGCCGAATATGTTTTTCATGTACGTAGTGCAGTTACATACATAGATACCTCATAAAAACTTCCAGAGAGTCCAGAGAAATCTGGGCTGTTGCGAAATTTCTGGTAGACACTTTCCAGACAAAATAGTGGATCAAACAGTAATCAAAAATTAGGTGAAAAAAGGGTCTTAACCTTAATTTTCGCAAGTTTCAGAAATGGACATTTAATACTAGGAAGTCGTTTTCATTACTACCGGAAGGTTATGAACATCCGTTTCTTCCTGATTTCCTGTGTATGAAACTCTCATTGTTGGATTTCCAACACCAGATGGAGCTTTCTAGGCGTGATCCACCTTTGGGCCTCCCTAGGCCTCCGTAGCAGCACATAGAAAAACGTATCCTCTGGACAAGCACGTGGTTCAAACTATTTTCCAGTGTTGGAGTTAGCAGGTACGCTAAAAGGTAAAGGTTGTTTCCCCTTATTTACTTTTTAAACTTTTTTCACATAAAATTTTTGAATGAAAATCCGTCAGCTCACCAATCCATGATATCGAATTATTGAATTGGAATCTGTACATTAGGACTGGTATGGTGGGGAAGACGGGCGTTAGGAACGATTTTGGGTAATCGATTCGCCGCACGCGGCTGTCCGGCTGTCGCGGACCATCATTCGCCGTTATTACGGCTCTAGCTTTCTTCATGCAGCTCAATCGATATGCGAACATTATTTTATGCATAATTCTACTATTAGTACTTTTGATCTTGAATTTTTTACCTAC